CTGGTGGATGAAAGAACACCTTAGCTTATAGCCCTCCCAATTGCCCTCTGTCTCCTTATTATATTCAGGGCCGTAACAGATTTTTTTTAGATTAGTTTACCCTTGACTGGAGCTACTCAAAAAAGCTAATAACTGTCTGCCAGCAGGTGCACAGAGTGGGATTTTTCTCTGTCCCTCTGCCTCCTGTAAAACATGGACATTTCATGAACACAGGATCCTGCTGCTTGAGCCTGTCTGCATCAGGTTCCCTCCAGATGCACCGTGAATAAGAGAACGTGTCCCACGTGTTTCAGAGCATTCGAAAAGGTTCAGTTCCAGAAGGGCTGGAGTGGTGATTGGGGTCTTATATTTTCTGAATCAGTTATAGCTTGTAGCACCAAACTAATCATGCTGCTCTATGAAATCCTAGAATATCATTTAAAAAAAACAACCAAAGAGCAACAGATGTGGAAACTGGGGTTTGGAAATGTCCTCATTGCTGACTTCCATTCAAACAATCTGGACCTTCTCTTCAGCTGCCCAGATGTTCTTCTCCTCCTTCCCCACTCACTAGGGCTCAAGCAGATTCTATGAGAATGAAAAATTAGTCTGGTAACCAAGTAGTAAAACATGGTCTACATTCTTGCTTTGTCCAGCTTTTCTGTGTTTCACCCAGTAACACGATAGGCTCAGCCGGTGGACTATGAGGTAGCGTCTCACCAAGTGTCATGGTATTTTATTAAGTCAGAAATGTGATAGCTACTGTTGTCACACTTTAGTGTACAGAACAATTCATTCACAAATGAGAAAAGCAGATCCCCCACAAATACCTTTTCCCTTACATAATGCAAAGCACAATGCAACTGAAGCTGAGTGGGCTGCGACAATATTATTTCAGCGTGGCTTTCACAGCTCACAACTGCAATGGGGAGTGTTTTTTCATTTGAGAGAGGGTGGGTGTGTGCCAGCAGACCCTCTGCTATTAATTTAGTTTCTCAGCTCTTGTTTGTAGAGTTGGCGCTCGCTTAGAATACCGTCTTCAATGATAAAGTAACGAAGGAACTGAGGAGATGGGAACCAGATTAAATTGAACGTTTTTGAAACCCCAACACTGTCAATGACTATCTTCTTAGGAATTCCAGCACAGGAGAAGTTGACATGAATGTATCTTGGACGTTCTTGAAATCTGAGCTATGTTTTTCAAAGAAAAGTGTGTCCACAAAATAGCACAGTGAGAACATGTACAACCCCTAACTTTACTTGCACTTCAGGAAAATGTACTTCCTGTTCTAAAATTTTGAAAAGCACCCACATTACATGGGCACTTTGGAAAATGGGACTGAGAAACCTAGAAATTGCTTTTATTGCCCTGAAATTTTAGAACAACTATATCGGAGAGACTTTTTGAAATTACCCAACTTAAAGAAATCTGGAATTTGTGAACAGAACTGGATGGCATACCTCTACAACAACTTCCTTCAGAAATCTAGCTTTGAAAAATTTTTGAGAGAGTCTAAGTAGCTCCTGAAAATCTGTAACTATATAGAGATAACAATAAAGGGTACATAATGTAGATAACAGAGGATGGTGGAGGGGCAGTTGTTTCAGCTTAGAGTCCCCCTCTCCCCACAACTTCTGTAATTTGGTAGAACATCAACCAAAAAATGTTTGCAAGCTTCCAGGACTCTGCAGCATTCACTGTTTCTTTCTTGTAAGAGTCGCGGAAAGAAGAAAAAAAGCTTCCTAATTTTTTTTCTCCTTTTTAAATCATAATGTCAAGTCAGAGAGAGAAACCATAGAAATAACATTTCTCAAGTTTTTGAGGTAAAGCCTTCACCACTCAAACAATGAAGAATTTGGATGATAAGATCTAGGGTACATATTTCAGGCAGGCTAGCTCCAAGTCCATAATCTATTCAGTTTAGATTTCCTGTGTATAGATTTCCTTATTACTTATGTGCACTATTTCTTAATTCTGTCTGCAGACAAGGGATGTGATAGGGTGCCTTCTCTTGGTGCATGGGCACAGCTCCCACAGACATGTCAAGGAAAAGATAAGTCTCCAGCGAGTGCTGGGAAAACGCTGTAAGAGCAAGATTCAGACAGGAAATGTCTGCGGAAAGACCCAGAGAAAAAGACTTTTCCTCTTTCTCGTAAATGAAGCCTAATATTGTGATGGATTATAATAAAGTTCATCAATGAGGAAGGCTGGTAAATCTAACACTGTACAGTGAAGGTCTACTCTGAAAACTCCCCTCGGTTTTCCTGGTAAACAGACAAGCACTTTCCTTTGTGAGACCCGACAGATTCCTGTAAGAATAGGAAGCAGTTTCATCTTACTGTGTTATTCAAGAAGAGTTGTGACCTCGGATAATCCTTTCCTATGGTCAATAATTCTATTCACATTCTAGCCAAGCAGCATTTGAAGTTTGCTTGCAAACTACTTAATTGACTAGGGTGTACTTGGAAGTACTGGCAGGACCCAGAAGACACAGTTTCTTCTAAGCATCTGTCCCTAACCATTTTTCATTAATTTCAACAATATTCCGTTTCCTGATGATTGACTCCTCTGTGTTTTACAGGACTGTGACCAGATACACATAGATGATGTATCATCAGATGACAACGGTCAAGACTTAAGGTATGGAATTTCTGAACTGGACTGGATCCTCAAGCAGTCTCGAGGCTTAAAAATGGCTGTCAGATGAGCAACGGTGTAAACAATAATTTGATTTTGCTCATTTCCCCTTTCCCATGTTTGCTACATTTATCAATACATGAGAGCACAAATTCCCATTTTTCATGTTCACATGCTCAGGCCTTAGTCTCAGGCCCTGAATATAGCAGGCTTTGAAGCATACTGGAAAACACATCTGAAATTCAGCTGAACTCGCACCAGCTACACCAACTTAATAAATGAGCAGGCAAGCCAGATCAGGCCAGATAGTTCACCACCATCCTTGAGCCTCAGACACGCAATATTGTCTCTGAAGTGTATGGCACTCAAGCCTAGAAATCCCAGATACTTTGCACTAACAGGAGTGCCCACTCTCCCATTCATAGGCCCTGTGTCTATCACCATCTCAGTGGTATTACAAATATTATACATAATGGTGTTATCAGTAAAGCATATGGTTATCAAAAGGTAACAATAAGTAAAACATAAGGTAAAACATAAGAAATTGACTCCTGGTTACAGTCTTATTATTTATTGCAAAATCTCAAGGTTATTGTGTGATAAATGTGCTATTAACTAATGTCACCTTAATCTACTTGCTGTATAATTTGAGAATTTATTTCCTCAGATTACAACAGCTAGCAGCCACCACTTATTTTTCACCAGCCACTTATTTTTCATGCAACATCTTTTTTATGTTGGGGTACGTTGATGCTGAAAGACTAAATAGTCACAGCACTGACTATGCCCAACATGAACTTTACAGCTAAGAAATGTGCAATATAGGCTGTAGTTTGGACTGTTTCATGCTGTGCTGAAATATTATCTTCAGAAGTGCAACCTTTGATCATTACTACCCAAAACTCATGAAGGTGTCAGACAAATTCTTTAGATGAATGAACCTGAAATTTAAGCTCAACTGTCACCTACCACAGAGCAAAAAATAGCACAATGAGCACTCAGTATCTCAGTACAGTGTCCTCTTATATAAATCCATGGTTTTAGAGTCCAAAGATCTAACGATATGAATTTCAGATACACCATTAAAAAATCAGCTTGGCTCTACAAAAATTATGCCAAGTTTTCATATCTCTGCACCAAGATTGTGCATGCTAATCAGATAATTATGTACACTGAATAATTTGATAAAAAAACTAATCAAATAATTAGATAAATTGACACATTTGCAAAATGTGTATGTATAGATGTGGTAATTGTGTGGGCAAATGGTGACTAGGAGCTATGCTTTGCATCAATTTATTTAAATTACAGGGTACAAAGGAAGCTTCACGATGAAGATAGTTTTCTTTCCAAAGAAAAGTTCACTCAGAGGATTCACTCATGTTGGGATCCTCATTTGAGTTTCGCAATGCACTGAAACATTGTAAGGTTTTCATTCTGTTTCACTAGCTCAGATTAGTGTGTAAATAGGCTCTACTGCATGGTAAATCTAAGTACATGTGCAGACGTGCATCTAAAAATGATAACCTGGCTTTTACCTGAAGTTGATCAATGCATATAATCCCTGCCCATTTTGAATGAATGAGGGAAAACCATCTGCTCAAGGCATCTCTTCTTATCCTCTGACATAAGCCCTAGCCCAAGAGATCTGAGCTGCTCCTTATACTTATGACATGCTTAAGTCTTGTCTGTTTGGGAAAATAAGTCAAGTAAAAGTACAAGGAGCAAATGCCAAGAGGGCAACGAGAGATGTGATCCCTTTCTGTACTTTAACAGCTGCCCCTATCACTACAGCAGGGTCTGATGTGCATCTTCCCTCTGCTCCCCTACTCCTCACCATTCTTAACTTGTTTCTACATGTTATTGGGTAAGTTATAATTGTACTAATGCTCTGTCCCTTCTCTTACTCTCCCCTTTATCCCCCAGCACATATAACTTCTCAGCAGATGGCTTTCACAGTTCAACTGCTGGTGCAAATTTATGTCTGGGCTCTGGTGTTCATGGGGGAGTTGACTGGATGAGGAAATTAGCATTTCGCTACCGAAGGGTGAAAGAGATGTACAACACCTACAAAAACAATGTTGGAGGTGAGTGTCCCCAGCCAGGAAACAGCTCCTTTCATCTTCCAAAAAAGCCTCTCTCTTCTGCGTGGTGGGTGCAGAGCACAGCAAGGGTGCCTCTCATATTAGAGACTCAGTGTGCTGCCTAGTGCCTAAGTATCTCAGCAGAATCCAGCAGTGATATCCTGAAACAACAGTGCTCTTTGCAAAAGGGCCTGGGTGCTGCAATACCAAATAATCTTAACTGTTGCAGAGTGCAGTCTGATGACTGGGGCAGTGGACTAGTACTGAGACTGCTCTTGTGCTCTATTTTAAATCCAATGCATTGAACCCAATGGGAAATCACAGCTTTTCTGTTCCTTAGTTTCTCCATTTGCAGACTGGGGTTTAACACATAGCTCACAGAGATATGTGTGAGGCAGGTGCTTTGAGGTCCTGTGGTAAAAGGTATTAGAGGAGAAAATATCAGCAGATACCTGCCTAAACTGTAAAGTCTCAGTCTAGATTTGACACACCCTTCTTCATCTTGTTCAGATTAGAGGTTCGGTTTGAACCGAACTGCCAGGCAATGAATGATTACTGCTCTGATGTGAACTTTGTAAAGATCAACATGCCCCTACCCTGTTTTCCTGTATATTAGGGAGAACAGTATTATATTATATCCACAGCATGCAGTATTTACTCGGAACACTACTCAGAAATTACTGCAAGTCTCTTTGAGGGGGCCTGATTTTTTCCTTCTCTAGTGAACTGGACAGGGCATTAATTTCCCTGGCATGCGATGAGCATGGCTTTAGATTAATTTAAAAATCTCTAACAAAAACAATTCAAAATTGCATCATTTCCCCAAAATAAGGCCAGGAACTATCTAATAATCTCATAACAGAACTGATGTGGGGAAAGCTGTCTGCCATTTTCGCAAACGTACAACAAATAATTAGGTTTGGCAGAATTCAATTTTTATTTTGTAAATAACTTTGATGGATAATATCAGTGCTTATTTTTAAGCATTTCTTTGATTTTTATCAATTTAAATTTTTCAGGATTACATGAAATTAGGGGCATGGGGCAGACAATTTGTTAATGACAGTATATTATTATAGGACAGTTTAACCCCGCTCCCCCCCCC